CCCCCCCCGCATCTCTGGCCTGTACCCCAGTTCTGCATGAATAAATAAATCTTTAAAAAAAAAAAAAGAAAGAAATGATTCCATGTTTTGTAGTGCAAAAGTGTGGCAGCATGAATGACTGTGTTATTTCTTTCTGCATCTAACTTTATTCACTTAAAATCTTCTTGTACTGTTTTTTTCCTCATAAATACTAATAGGGGGGAGTTAAACTCCTATAAGAGCCCATATTTGAAACATACATAAAGAGCTGTGCTTTCACAGCCCATTAAGACCAAGAGGGGCAGTTAGAAAATGCTTCTTGCTTGCTTAAAAAAAGTGAAAAAAAATATACTTTCAACTGTTTAAGTCTCCACAGTCTTATAGAACATAGTTATTTTAGAATTTCAGTGAAGTATAAAGAGTTTCCTTGGAGAGCCAAAGAAGACAAAAGAATTCTCAGCACACTATGCAGCTTCAGAAGAAAAATATTAAGAGTAAAAATAGTTTCCCAACTCAGTCACTGTTTAGGATTGATAATTTATTCCTGATGGTCCCCCAAAAGAGAGGAAGAAGAGAAAAAGAACACACTTGGCTTCCATAACAGAAATTATTTATAGCTATTTCCCACACAAAACAACAGACTGTTAGATCTTCCATAAAATCCCTTTCAGTAATTTTATGGTGGGTCTGCATTTTATAATACATTTTTTTGCATCTAAGAAAAGGAAAAAAAAACACTCAGCAACAAAATAATTTTACAATAATTTACCCCAGTGATTTTTATTAAATTTTCAATTTCAAACCTTTCTCCCTCCTATCAAAATTAAATACACCATGGTTGGCATTGGTGTTGTTAAGTTTAATTATTAAAACTAAACATCGCATGACTGCCACCTGCTGGTGAGAAAAAATGTGACTACCTTATTTTATTAAAAGTTGTGTTTTCTGATATTTTCCAACTTTGGGTTTAGATATTTCACATTAAAAAGGGTGAATTAACAACGTTCTTAGATAATTAAGAACATGTTATATGTCTAAAATCAAACTAATTGACCATATATTGCAATATTTTTTTAAAAAATCCAAATGTGATGTTTTTCTTGTTACAATTTATATTGTCACTATTATTATAAGAAGTCACACAGACGGATTTTTGCAGCACAATTAAAATGATGTTTTTATAGGCAGTGATGGAGTTAATAGTTACTGCAAGACTGGCTAGTCAAATTAAGCCAAGTACATATGAAAATCTCTTGAGGGATGTCATTAACTCTATCTTGAGAGACAAACTGTGAACCAATTCACTGTGAGTCAATTAGTGATTCAATTCACTAACAGGCAATAATACAATGGCAAAAGGAAACTGAATTTGTCAGTATAATATATTACCTTGAGGGAAAGCACTGATATTTCACCCTTTACACAGAGGAAGCATTTAGTCACTTATAATTCATGAAACATACCTGGCTTAAAATGTGGTAAAGAGTGAACTCCAGGCCACGTGTCTTCATTGGGTGTTCCAAGAACCTAGTGGAGAGCAGGAAATTGTGGAAACAGACTTAGTATTTCCGAAGCACTTAAAATTCTTTCGGGTAGAAAAGAGAACACAGCATATGATGAAACCCTGTGCTATTTTTCCATTATCATGTGCCAGGGATTTTATTTCAGTAAAAACAAAACAGGCTAAAGAGCCACCCAAGATGAATGTCAGTGTTCCAGCCAATGCAACTGACTGTGGTAAGACAAGTTAATTCTGCTGCATTTTATCAACACTAAACTTAATACGTTGGCTTAGTACTCAGTCTTAATACTCAGACAACTAGCTGTCATCTTCATGGAACTGAAGAAAGTTTGGATTTATTCATGAGCTTTGGCCCTTCACTCCAGCATCAGATCTTTTGACTCTCATTTCCTCCCTCTGTCTGAGCATCAGAATGCTTCAAAGGACAGACAGCTCCAGAGACTCATATTCTCTGTTAGCCACAGTACTCGTTATGACTAACGTCTTTACTTTTATGATTGATAGTTTCCTCTTCCACAAATAAAGTTCTTCCTATATGCCATTTATATATATATTGCACCATCTTTCCCCATCTACTTTTTTCTCACTACAATATTTGACCTGGTTAAAGAAAGTGAAGAGAATTCTAGCCCACCTATAACTGTACACGCCACTGGAATATTCAGTTCGATCATCTACTCTCCACTATTGAAATAAATTGCCTAGTAAAACTGAAGGGTTAAATGCCCAGACTAAAAGCAGATTGTTTTAGTTTAAATTCTTGCTCCCAACCTGCTACCCCTAATGCCTTGGGTGAGAAGTCACCTCACTGAGTTTCAATTTTCTCATTTGTAAATTGGGGTGACAACAACACTTATCTCATTTGCAGCAAAAACACCACCTAGCACCCAGTAAGCATGACATAAGCATTAGCTATTCTGCAACGCACACACAGAAAATAGGGTAAGGGCAGGGAGGCACTGCCCTTTAGAAGAGAAATCAAACTAGGACTACCATGGATAGTTAAACAGGTAAAAAGGGCAAAGGCAGGCCCTTCCTGGTGGCAGAGCAGGTTAGGATGCAGCACTGAAAGCTAGCTGCAGTGGCTTCAGTGCGAGTTTGATCTCCAGCCCTGGAGGTGACCCACATGGCGTGGCAGACCTCTCCTGACCTACTCGCTGCTCCCCTCAATCTGTCAATCTGCTTATTCTGCTCCCCACTCTGTCCCTGGTGAGTCCTCTCACTGCCCCTGCACCTCTGGTCTGTATCCTAGCTCTGTATAAATAAATAAATATTTTTTTTAATTATTTATTCATACAGAATTGGGGTACGGGCCAGAGATGCGGAGGGTGAGAGGATTCACCAGAGACAGAGCGGGGAGCAGAACAGGCAGATCGACGAAGTACACTGCTGAGGGGAGCAGCGGGCAGGTCAGGAGAGGTCTGCCGTGCCGTGTGGGTCACCTCCGGGGCAGGCGGTGATCGAACTCATGCGGAAGTGGCTTAAGCCTCTTAGTGCGGTGCTTTAACCCACTGCGCCACCAGGGAGGGCCTAAATAAATAAATCTTTGGAAAAAAAAATGCAAATGCTGGAAGCTAACGAAGGAGGCAGAATGACAACATGCGAGGAAATGCAGCACTTTACCATGTCTCCAAAGATGAGCAGGTACAACTAGGCAACAAAGACATACAGAGCTCTGATTACTGATCCGTTTACTTACACAGATGTCACAGGACTGTGTACACCCAGTGAGTGCTTCATTCACCCTCCACACCCTAGTGGCTCAAGGTTGCATACACCTACTATGCACCTTGTTGAACACAACTGGACACTGAATCTGGGCTCAAGGGATCAATGATACAACTATTCTTTCAAATTAGAACTGGTTATTTTGTAACCACTAGTTAACACTGTCATTAATAGGTAGATTTACACAAACAAGGTCACACTATTGACAAGCTGAGAAAGGGAGGGGGAAGGAGACAGGTGAGGGGGCTGAAGAGTTACATGACAGGAAAACAGACAGTCATGTCTCCGACATGACAAGCTGTGATAACAGTGTCTCTGCAAAGGCAGTTTCCTTTTTCTTCTCACTAGTTGTAAACATTTTTTTTTCCCAAGAGAGACAAACAACCAGGTTTGGGGCAGCAAACACAGCTCACCTGAGTGGGGCAAGTTCCACATTAGCTCACATTGAATTCTGCATGAAGGACAAGGGATCTAATAGTATGAAACTTTAGCAACCACAGGAAGAATTTTCAGCTCACAAACACAAATTGATCACAACCAAATCATTGCATGTGAAATACACCCTCTGAAAGTTTAATGAAAAGTTCAGAATTGGAGCTTCCTTCTAATAAAAATCTGATTGCTACCCTAACTGTACCTGTTCCTACAATGTTCGCATCAGCAAACATTCTCATAGGTATTCTCCTCATCCAGATACAGTGTCCTCTTTCAGAGTGACTGCTGAAAGTACGGGCTTCTCATAAAAATTATTTGCAAAGAGAAAACACATAAGACTTGAAGTTTTTAACAGTAGTGACTGATGAGAAGCCAGACCACAAATTCTTCTCCTGCCTCCCACTCTTGGGCCATCTGCATAGGAAATACAAAGTGGGTAGGTAGAAAGTGGGCAAAGGAAAAGAAGATTTAAAAAATCTATTTTGGTTTCCACTAAGTGTTTTTGGAAAAACATTTCAGGTTAAATGTCAAGATGACAGACTACTTGGCACTAGGAAAATGGGTGAGCACCGTCTCTGAAGTCAGATTTCCATTTATATTAATTGACAAAGAATTCCATTACAAAGATACTTTTAAAACATTAGCAGGAAAAAGAGGCTTTCTGAAAAGTCAAAGGTAGCTTTTTGCAAATAAAACAGTGTGGAAGAAAACACCATCTGATGTGACATTAATATTTATAATCTTCACATCTGTCAGTAAGTAGGCTTTGAGACCCTCCCTGGTGGCACAATGGATTAGAGCGCAGCACTGTAAGCTAGACTCAGCCATTTTTGGTGCAGAGTTCAATCCCCAGCACCTCGCCCACCTCAGAGGTGACCCACATGGTGCAGCAGACCTCTCCTGTCTCATCCACTGCTTCCCTCAGCAGTATACTTCGTTGATCTGCCTGTTCTGCTCCCCACTCTGTCTCTGGTAAATCCTCTCATCACCCTTGCCCCTCTGGTCTGTACCCCAGTTCTGTATGCATAAATAAATAAATAAATAAATAAATCTTAAAAAAATAATAAGTTGGCTTTGAACATCTGAGGCCACCTTTGGGCTTAAAACAACATGGCCTGATATGCTAAGGTGTCTTCTACAGATTTGTTTAAACAGCTTCGCCTTAATCCTATGCCCAAGGCTTGTACTTTCCCCTGTTCCCTTCTTGGTCCATCTCTTCACTGTGCTAACATTTATCATTGTGTTCACACTTGAGAAGAATGGAAAGATGAGACCAGGGTTCAGCAGGAGGTGCAGCCACCCTGGAGAGGGACTGGAAGGGGGGCAGTGAAGAGTTGCCCTCAACCTAACAAGAGCTCTCATAGGGATGACAGAGAGGGTGGGGGAGAGCCCAAAGGATGGTGTGTTGGATTCTACCTGGAGAAGGGAGAGGATAATTGGATGGGAGAAGGAACACTGCTTTATGGTTGGGTTGGTGAGGGAAGTGATTTGGAATGACAGAATGTTCTGATTATGAGGAAAGGTTCTGTCAAAATACTTGCCTTTTACATAGCTCAGGCCCCCGTCCATTCATAAAAGTTTGGGAACGTTCTGGGCCTAAACTTGGCTAAGTTCATGCTTATTTTTAGCTTCAGCTCACAGGTCACATTTTTGTGAAAGAGTTTCTGGATTCTCAGGCCCAAATTCCAACTGTGATCTTTGGGCTCTCCAAGGCCTATGTGCAGAGTTCTCTGAAGGACTATGCATTGCCTCAGATTACATGCCTGTTTCCACACTGGACCATGGACCTTGGATGGAGATCATGGTGTTCACCTGTGGATCCCATGCTTATCATGTGCCTGGCACTAATAAATGCTGAATGACTGCCATAGAGGTGTATGACTGGACTGTAGATTGCACAGTGGAATGGGACACTTGAGGCAGAGACTGCACTTTCCCTGTTCCAGGTTTCTCACAGTACAGAACACATCACCCATGGAGGGTTGCGGATTTCATATAGGGTACTGATGTGGACAGCTTTCAAATGATGAAATAATGGTAAAGACACATACTGTTTTAGGAAACATTTGTTCAAATAAATCTCTGTGTGTATGTGCATTTTGAGTCATATGTACAATGTTTGTCTCACTGTTTAAGAGCCATTATATAAACAAGATGTTGTCAGCTGAAACCAAGAAAGCAGACAATAGAGCAAGTTTGGAGGTACTGAGTTTAGTTTTGGTCCTATTCATATTCCATGCTGGAAATGCTGTAGGTCAGGGTGGAAGATGTGTAAAGGGTAGGCATGGGCCTTTGGAGGGGAATTCAGGATAGAGAAAAATATTTGGCTTCCTAGCATTTATATGGTAGTAAAAAGCAAATGTCAAAATATAAAATACAGAATAGTATTATTTCCCTGTCCATATTCATACAAAAACAGTTTCCAGAGGGCATCTCAATGATTTCCTAGACTACTTAGCATTTATAAAGACAAGCAAGAGATCATCCCACCTTATCAGTGGAGATTTGCTGTCCAACCCCAATAAACTGTGATTTAATGACCTCAAACCTACTCTTTGTGTTTACCTCTGCACAGATGGGTTTGGTGTAAATGCCACCTAATATCTCACCTTCAATGATGGGCAGAGGGAGATGCTGAGAGAAAAAAAAAAGGCCTCTGCTGAAACATCTACTTTAGAAACAACAGGAAAAAAGGAAATTCCAAACTTCTAGAGCTCAGAATTAAACTCATACTTTTCAGAAATGTCTACTTATCCTTACAAATTATTAATGGATCCACTAACTCTTAAATTTCCAATTTTGCTTTTAGATACACCCTGGGGCTGTTAAACAGCAGTTCATA